GCTCAATAAATATTTGCTTAATCAGGTATGGCAAGATTAGTATAATAATGTTTGTGCTGAAGATATTTTCTTCAAGTACTTTTTTTTTTTTTTTCTTTTTTGAGACAGGGTCTTGCTTTGTCACCCAGGCTGGAGTGTAGTGGCATGATCACGGCTCACTGCACCTTCCATCTCTGGGCTTTAGTGATTCTCCCACTGCAGCCCCAAAGTAGCTGGGACTACAGGTGTGTGCCACCACGCCCCACCAATTTTGTGTTTTGGTTTTTTTTTTTGTATTTTTTGTAGAGAGAGGGTTTCGCCATGTTACCCAGGCTGGTCTCGAACTCTTGGACTCGAGGGATCCACCCTCTGCGGCCTCCCAAAGTGCTGGGATTATAGGCATGAGCCACCTTGCCTGGCCTGGTAAAATCTAATCCAGTGTTGGATGTCAACTTCCAGGATAACTATGGTTTTCAGTAAGTCATGTGCAAATCAACAGTACTTTTCAAGTTTATATTTATTAATTCACTTAAAAGTATGTGTAACAGCTCATAAAAAGAAAAGATTATGTGCACTGCATGCCTGTATCAAAATATCTCAAGTACCCCATAAATATATACACCTACTATGTACTCACAGAAATTAAAAATTTTAAAAAATTAAATAAAGAAATAAGCAAACAGAAACATCTCTGCTGGGCGTGGGGCTCAGGTCTGTAGTCCTAGCACTTTGGGAGGCTGCGATGGATGGATTGCCTGAGTTCAGGAGTTCGAGACCAGCCTGGGCAACATGGCAAAACCCTGTCTCTACAAAACATAAAATAATTAGCCAGGTGTGGTGGTATGTGCCTGTACTCCCAGCTACTTGAGAGGCTGAGATGGGAGGCTCACTTGAGCCTAGGAGGTTCAGGCTGCAGTGAGCCATGATCACACCACTGCACTCCAGGGTGGGCGACAGAGAGAGAGACCCTGTCTTAAAAAAGAAAAAGAAAGGAAAAGAAAAGAAAAAAAGGAAGGTACACAAAGCAATCCAGAGGAAAAACTAATGCCAAAGACAGTATTTTGGTAGGGTATAAGAACTGTGAGGGCTGAGATTATCTAAGTGAACTGCATTCTCCTGTCTCTAAAACATACTATGCTCATAAGCATACCCTTAAGCAGCCATATTATTCAGCAATGAAAGTACTTAATACATTACTTATTATGCAGAAAAGACTTAGGTATTATTAAGATTAGCAACAAGCAGAAATCCAGGGAAACAGCCCATCACACACTTAACACATTCCATACTAACATTTTTAGTCTTTTAGAATAATTTAAAATGGTGATTAGAATAGTAACCTTCAATAGTGTGTCTTCACTAAAAATGGGGCACATACTTTAGGGGTTGTATAAGATAATCC